GTAATCGATCTGGAGTTGGCTCTTTAAAACTTTCAATACGCTGGAGAATCACTTTGCGATATTTAGCGTAAAGATCTGATTTTTGGAAAAAGCGTTGATGCACAGTATGTTGAAGAGCTTACTAATCCATTTGAAAACCTAGAGTTTGAGGGAACAGTCAAAGAAAAAGAAGAAGAGCGAAAACAACAAAAGAAGAAACAAGAAAATGAAAATGACATACCGGAATGTTTTGTTCCATGGTCATGGATCGAAAACCATTGTAATTTATGTCAGTATTCTCTCGATATTAAACGTTGTACAAATGCAAGTTGTTGTGGGCCATCTCGTGCAAAAGAAGCTACAGAACTTCTTCTCTTGAATAATGGTTTTTTGCCCCCAATTACGAAAGCTAAAGACGGACATTTCACAAATCCCATACATCTCCTTGAGTATTATGACCTCTTGAGAATTGCTGGGTATGATTCATATTGCCCGTCGCTTGATCAAACAACCTATTCGCGCCTTTGTTGCTCAGTGTGCAACAAATACTTTCCAACTCTTGCTTATTTGACAAAACATAAAAAAGCAATGCATCCAGCAAGCCGGGGACGACTTAAGGGAAAATCCAAGAATAATTCAAATTCTCTTGATGATTCCTCTCTTCTTACTTCACAACAAAACGAAATGTGTTTAAGGGAATATATGTCAGATAATGAATGATTGTATATAGCTTACTGTTTCTCAGATACAATGCATGGATATAAAACAAAATTTTTTTTTTTTTTTTAATAACTCTTTATTAATATTGTAATTAAACGAAAAATATCAATGCATTCGCAATTACAACTAGGAAAAATTTTTCCATTAATAGTGACCTAAAAACAAATTTTATTTTGTTAATGTGAGAAACCATAGTAACACAAATGACTAATAAATTTTAAGCCACTAAATCGGTTATATACTTTTAATGATATCACGTGATCCATATTAACGTAAGATTTTTCGTGACCCCCCACCCCCTAAAATATTACGTAATAAATGTCATCGCCCTTATATATATTATTAATAAAGAAATAATGTATTCACTGCACCCTGCATTACAAATTTATATATATTTTTATGTTTATCATTTGCCATTTTAAGGGGGTGTATAGCTAGTAAAAGTTTTAAACTTTTAAAATATAACTGATTTATTAATTAGTTAATAATAAAAAATTAATAAAAAAAAAATAATGTTGCAAAAATATTTTTTAGTTTTATAATATGGATAAATCTAATTGTAACAGCATGTTATGCATCTTATTTGTAATAACCTCCAATTTTATCCAATTAAAATTTAAGATCAGGCGTAATGTAAACAAAAACAAAAGATCAGTTGTATAACTAAGACAAAAGAATTTTTTAAAAAATTTCAAAAAACTGCTTATAACTTAAAATTTTGTCTATGAAACTGTCTTAAATCTGTCTCTTATACACATCTAGATGTGTATAAGAGACAGGTTTAAAGCGCAAGACAATTTGCCACCGTTTTTGCCGACAAAGCTGTTATTATTTCGCAAGATGATAAGGCGAAGATAGGTCTTGGAGTACCCGCTGTAATACCTGTCTCTTATACACATCTAGATGTGTATAAGAGACAGAGATAAGGATCACGTTTTTTGAAATCTACAAAATTTCGGTACAGTATACTGTATATTTTATTCAGATATATATATATATATATATTTGTTTCATGTGTTATTGCTTCCGAATTTGTCGCTGAGCCATCCCTTCACGCGTGAATTCTAAAGTTTTATTATTGATCACGTGTTCTCCTTTCGAATATTCGGATTTCGGATATTCAACAAATGTTTATTACACGTATATTTCACCATTGAAAAAACATATCATCAAACTAGTTTAATTCCTGGATTTGTCAGATATTACGATAACAAATCTACATGCAAGGGTTTTTTTATCAATTCATCCAATAATCAAATACCAATCAAAATGAAGACGCTGATTCTTAANACCTCCAATTTTATCCAATTAAAATTTAAGATCAGGCGTAATGTAAACAAAAACAAAAGATCAGTTGTATAACTAAGACAAAAGAATTTTTTAAAAAATTTCAAAAAACTGCTTATAACTTAAAATCTTGTCTATGAAACTGTCTTAAGTACATTAAGTAAAGTTTTCCAAATTAAATTTTGCATATAAAAATTTTATTTGTAAAACACATACTAAATTTATTATTAAAAAAAAATAAAAAAAAGAATGTTACAAATAAGATATATTATAAATACATTTATTCTTATAATATTTATTAATAAAAATATTGCAAAAATATTAGTACTTTATTAAAATATTAATTATTATGTAAGTGGCAAATTTTTTTTTTGTCATATTATATGGAATTCTTGTGAATTTTCATGAAATTTTTGTAAAATCCATAAAAATTACATGAAAACTAGTCCAAAATTTTATATTTTTATTATTACTATTTAATAAAATTATCCAACTTTAATCCATAATATTAATTAAAATTCTTATTAAATTTTATAAAATAATCTAATAGAAATATTCAGTACATATTACTCTATTATTTTATCAGTTTAATTTTTTTTTTTTACTATTTAATTTACAATTTATAAAAATTTAAAGTTATATAATATTAGTGTAGTTTATAAGTAACAGTTACTATAGTAATTTGTTATATTATATTACATGTTTCTTATTTTTATTTTACTATATATTTTAGAAATTTAGAATTTTTTAGTATAAAAATTCTATTTGTCATTTAACTCATTTTATATATCATATATAGGATTAAAATTTAAACGCACCTGCGTTTTAAATGCACCCCTTTTTTGGAAATTTTTATATAATAAAAATGCAGATCATTTTATCACATAATACTGGTGAATTTCTGATTTTTTTGAATAAACACAATTTATACTTTATACATCTATAAATAAATTTACATTATATATATATTTTTGCCTCTTCTACAACTTTACTTACTATGACAAAAGGGGTTTAAAACTTCATTTTTGACTTATATTATGGGGTGTGTTTAAACACAAATGTGTTTAAATTTTAAACCCATCATATATTATAATTTTAATTTGATTTTATAATTTTAGCAAAAATTTTTTTTTATATAATTAAATAATATTTTTACTAATTAGTAGATCTCATAATTTATTAAACATAAACAATAATGAATATTTTTTAATAAGCATTGCATTTTTATGTTATTTTTTATTAAGAATAAATGTATAATATACTGTATTTATGTATTACTTATTTTATTTATAACTTTCTTTTTTATTTTTTTAATAATAAATTTAGTATACATTTTATAAATAAGATTTTTATTAGAACTCCGAATGGGTCAGGTCAGGTCAGGTTATATCAGGTTGTCTGTTTGACCTGACCTGACCTGAAACCTGAAAAATTTTTATTAAAGTATTGAAAAAAAACGGTACAAAACTTTTTTTTTTTAATATAATATTATGAAAAAAAACATTTTTGCAATGTTTTTTTATTAAAATATTGAAAAAAAATATTGCAAAACGTTTTTTTTAATATAACATTATGAAAAAAATGTTTTCGCAACGTTATTATTGAAATATCAAAAAAAAACGTTACAAAACATTTTTTTAATATAATATTATGAAAAAACATTTTCGCAACGTTTTTTCTCAAAATATTGCGATTCAACATTTTTATATTGATTTTGTATAAAAAAAGTGAGTTGCGGTATTGCGATTCACTTTTTTATATAGATTCTATATAAAAAAAGTGAGTTGCGGTATTGCGATTCACTTTTCTATATAGATTTTATATGAAAAAAGTGAGTTGCGGTATTGCGATTCACTTTTTTTATATAAAATCAATATAGAAAAGTGAATCGCAATACCGCAACTTACTTTTTTTATACAAAATCAATATAAAAAAGTGAATTGCAATACCGCAACTCACTTTTATTATATAAAATCAATATAAAAAAGTGAATCGCAATACTGCAACTCACTTTTATTATATAGTAGAATCAATAGTTTCAGGTCAACAGGTCAATCAGGTCAGGTCAATCTTCATACCTGACCTGAATTTTTTTTAAAAATCTCATACCTGACCTGAATTTCAGGTCAGGTCAGGTCAGGTTACCTGAATTTGGCTGACCTGTTCGGAGCTCTAATTTTTATATGTAAAATTTAATTTGAAAAACTTTTACTTAATGTACTTAAGATAGTTTTATAGATAAAATTTTAAGTTATAAGCAGTTTTTTAAAATTTTTTAAACATAACTGATCTTTTGTTTTTATTTATATTCTCTATAAAAAAAAATTTCTTTAAAATGTACTTAAAATATATTTAAACTTGCAATTTTAAGTATATTTAAAATGTAAAATTTACACTTAAATTATATTTAAATTATATTTAAATTGCAATTAAGTATATTTTAAATATATTTAAATATATTTAAAATGAAAATTGCTACATATCACCTGTGGTGATCATCACCGATATTATATAATTAAATTTTAACTTTATTTACCAGTGATCATCACTGGTAACTACTTTTGCGTAATCTTACTACTAAAGATATAGTTCGCTTTATCACGTGACTTATTTCATCATTGTTTGTTTTGTTAAATTACTCTTTTTTTACAAAACTTTTCACAAACGTGTTTCCTATAAACACTTCTTTCTTAGATACGTCTTTTCTTTAAGCTTCATAGTTAGCATTTAAAAAAAAATTTGAAGTTAGGATATCAAAAGTTTAACAAGTTAGTACATTTTATAGAACTAATACTTACTTTATTTTACAAAGAGTAACTAACTTGATTTTTCCCACAAATACTCTTTCCAATTTTTTAGGTTCTTTTAAGCTTCTTTTTTAATTGTCTTCACGACTAGTCTCATAAACAACTTTAAAGTTAGATATCAGCCACCATAATATTAATAATCAAGCTATAAATTACGAATATTAATTATGAATAACGAATATCAAAACTGACTATTTAACCCTCAACTTATGGATTATAAATATCAAGACCAAGGCCAACCATCATCTGATCAATTGATGGATTATGAATATCAAAATCAGGGCCAACTATCGTTTTATCTTTAACTGATGGATTACAAATATCAAACTCAAGGCCAACCATCATCTGATCATCAACTGATAGATTACGAATATCAAAATCAAGGCCAATTATCATCTGGTCTTCAGCTGATAGATTATGAATATTAAAACTAAGGCCAATTGTCGTCTTATCTTCAATTGATGGACTACGAATATTATCAATATCAAGGCCAACCATCTGACCAATTTCATCCAAAAAATAAAGGGAAGCAAGTAGTGATATCTTTAGATATAATTACTGAACCTGATTGTGAACAAAATAATACGAATGATAATAATCATATAACTGATGATATTAATGATACAACAATTACGACTGAAATATTAAATATTAATGATACCTTCAATGATTAGGATGCAGTTAAAATTGCTGTTAATATGTTTGCCAAATACAATGGTTTTGTTGCTATTAAATTTCATAAAGATCTTAATATTATTGATAAAACTATTACTCGTCATCGTATTTATCAATATTAGAAAGCTGGAATTAATAATCCAAAAAAAGTAAAGGATATTACTAAGGTTACTTGCCAAAACTTAGGGGTTTAGGCAAGATGGCATTTCGCCGAAAAGCGAAATTCTGCTGAAACTATATTAAAGTTATATTAAAAAACTGGCAAAACTTTGGAAAAAGGTGAAACTGCCAAAACTTATTATAAATGCTGAAACTGCCAAAATTCTGCCAAAACTATAATAAATTTATAGTAAAATTTTGATAAAACTAATCGTAGAATTTTGAAGAGGTTTAGACAAGCAACCTTAAATATTACATTATATCATGAGAGTAGTTCAACTAAAACAAACTATCCTTGGCAAGCTAATTTCTATTTTAGCAAACGTGCTGCTGATATACATTTTACAAAGTTTAACAATAGCCATAATCATCAATGTGATCCTGTTTTAATAGAGTTATCTCTTAAAAACTTACGCTTTCTACAATCATTTTAGCATATGGACTGATTTGTTTACTCTGCATTAAAAGGAGTTATTAAATTGATTTTCATAATTTTTGTTACTCAAAATTGTTTTGTAATACCAAAAAATCATCTGATTGATGATCATTTGACTAAATAATAAGTTGAACAAAAATTTACATTTGCAAAACTTAAATTATTAAATGTCAAAAGCTGTGAAAAAACCCATTTTACTAATAAAAAATCCATTTCTTATATATATGGAATTTTCAATATATATTATTAAAAAGTAAGTATATTTTAATAAAATATAAAGTAAAATAAAAATTTATATAGTCTTAGCAGCTATAAATGTTTATAAAAATATAATAAAAATATCATATAAAAGATGGTATCATAAAGATAAAAATTAGCACCACTTTAGGAAGTAAAGATCATTCAAATTGAATCACTACATGTGAAGTAATTAATAATCAAATTTAAATAAAATTCAATAAATATACTGAACATGATTACTGAATAACTAGTGATTCAATTCACTTGATTTTAGATTCATTAGATAAATCTTGATTTTCTCTTTCAAATAAATGTAAATTTATTTATATAGCCTATTTTTACAAAGAATTATCAATGATTTTATCATGAGAGTTATATTTGATCTTTTAAATTTTAATAATATCTTATATTAAAAATATTCTTATATAAATAATAATTTATATTTGCTTTAATAAAATTCTAAAAATTGTAATAATTATATAAATAAGTAATAATATATTATAAAATAAAAGAATGTTAAAATATTACTAATATATAATAATTATTATCAATCTAATTTTTTAAATTTTATAAAATTAAATAATTAATTATATTTATTAAATAATTATTTTAAAATTTATTAACTATTACTGAAAGTAATGATTACTGGTAACTGAAATTATGATAAATAACTAGCATTAAAAAATATAGTGTTGGTAAAAATTAATAATTTTAGCTAATAGTAATAATTATTATCCAGTTCAACTATCTTCCTCATACTCTAATTTCTCTGGTCTGTTTTCTTAACCACTAATTGTTCTCATTTCTACTAACAATCACTCTTCACTTATCATTTCCATTTCCAGTATTGTTGATGAGTCACTTTGCGAAGAATATAAGGATATTGTCTCAGTTTAACATAGCTTTAATAACAAAATAGATTTATTGACTGAGTCTATAATACTATTATTTTATATGTATTTACAAGAAGAAGAGATTTGTTTAAGATTAAAAGGACTGTTTTTTAGATAATATTTGAGAAAATTGCAAAATTTTAATTTTTTAATTTTTTTATTTTACTATAATAGATAAGTTTTTTTTTTAATAAAATTTATAAAATTTATTATAGTTAACATTAAATTAATATTTGTTAATATATTTGTTATTTAAGTTGAAATTTTGTAATTAGTATTTTTTTAATGGTATTTTAAATTCTAGCCAAATTGTAACAATTACTAGTGGTAATAAAGGTGCTGTCAGATATTACCTAATATTTTAGGGGAAGGGGGTAACTAAAGATCACAATATTATATAAGGAATTATATATATAACATATCTTACCTAAGGGAGGGGGTAAGCTCTTATATTAAAGTAATATTAGGTAATATCTGACAGTGCCCTAATCATTACTGGTGAAATTTAGTAATATTCTAATACTATAAAATAAATCTACAACTATAAATATATATACCAATTACCAATTAGCTAAAAGTTTTAAGAATTTTTTTTAGAAAATAAAAAGATATTTCCTATAAATTCAAAAAATCAATTTTTTAAAATTTATAATTTTTTTATAATATTTAATATTGTTCATAGCAGATTTGGATTTCTAAAAGATTCAGCATCTATCAATTATAGAAAGATTAAATTACTACCATTCAATTCATTCCAAAACAAATTACTAATGTTATTGAAATTTCTGCTCAAATATAAAAAGTTTCAATTACATGTGATTAATTTTTGTGCGCCAACCATATAAGGTAATAGATAACGAATGAGCTCATCAGTACAATAGTGGTACAGCAGCAAATGTATCGTTCTTATACGATCAGGTGCTATGTTCTTATACGACGTATATGTCACATAATATAGGTCGTATAAGATAGTATGTCGTACACGTATAAGAACGATACATTTGCGGTACAGCAACATACAGCACGTGAGCGCGTCAGATAACCACTCATTTTAATCAATTCATTATCTTTATTTTTTATGATATCCAATTTTGTATTTATTAACGATATATTCCAAAAAAGATGTAATTAAAAAAAATTTTTTTTTAACAATTAGGGTGAAGTGCTGAGAAAAAGGGTTCAAAAATCTTTTTTTTTTTATGATGATCACTATCAATTAAGCCAATTAAACTTTTATTACTCAATTTATAATCAAGTTTACATTATAAAATTTTTTGATTTGTTATAATATTTTTGCCAATGAGAATTTACATGTATAAAAAAAAAATTTCTTTGTGTGATTAAGATTTCAGCCGTTTTTATTGTTTCAATCAGCAGGTTGCTGAATTTAATAGTTTCAGTATGTGGGTAAATGGAAAGTGTAACAATATTGTTGGGCCAAAATTAAATATTTGTAACAATAGGCGTCATTATGCACTTTAGCCAATCTTTTTTTTTCTTTTTTTCCAAACTTGCATTATTTTAATCAACCTATAATATGACAAATAGAAGTCGTTTATTCGTGTAACATTGTTATTTTAGACTTATTGCTGAAACAAGAATTTTTGACATATGATTAGTACTATAAAGTCAAACTGTTTCTTGTCTGTTTATAAAAAACAATGGGGAATGTGAATAATAAAATTATGAATATCATTCATTCAAGATCACTCTAGATCGCAAATTATCTGGATTTTATTCCGCAGCGATCTGCCATAAAAATGTCCGTTGTGTAAATAAGTACCGCATCAAGTAATTCGTTCAACGTTTCTATTTTCTTTTTTTTTTCTTTTTTTCTCAAAAAAAAGGGGGCTTCTTTTATTTAAAGTTTTAGTTTTAGTACATTATTAGTCATATAGAATTTGCAAAATTGGTCTTATAGAGAATTATAAATTTCGTTCAACTTTAAAAAGTATTTTGTTATCAAATAGATGTAGATTTATATAGTAAGTAGAGTAAAATTTCCTGTTAAAAAGAATAAAAACCTGCTGATTTTTTATTACTAATTGGTACTTGTTACAGCCAAATTTACAACCCCCCCAAAAAAAAATTAACTCGCTTGATTGGTGTTTGACAATTTCCGCAATAATACATCGTCTGCAACTCCATATTTTGAGTATTGTTTTGACCTCGTGCTGCTGTGGCAGCTGTGCTTCCTTGTCGATTACGCGTAGTACTACAAAATAGTTAAGAAGTTGACCGTTTTAGTCTGACAGCTCTTTACTCTGTCTCTCTCTTTCGAATACATCTCTCGCGAGATTCTGCGAAAAGTGCGTTAGACTTTTTTTATAAACAATAAACAAAACCTTCCCCCCCCCCCTTTTTTATATTTTTATTATTTCCTATATGACCATGAGAGAAATTGTCCATTTACAAACCGGCCAGTGTGGTAACCAAATAGGTGCCAAATTTTGGGAAGTTATTTCAGACGAACACGGTATCGACTATACTGGAACTTATAATGGTGACTCCGACCTTCAATTAGAAAGAATCTCTGTATACTATAATGAAGCTTCTGGTGGTAAATATGTACCACGCGCTGTTCTCGTTGACCTTGAACCTGGTACCATGGACTCCGTTCGTGCTGGTCCTTTTGGACAACTATTTCGTCCAGATAACTTCGTTTTTGGACAAAGTGGTGCAGGAAACAATTGGGCCAAAGGTCACTACACCGAAGGTGCCGAACTTGTAGATTCCGTATTAGATGTTGTTCGCAAAGAAGCGGAATCTTGTGATTGTTTGCAAGGTTTCCAGATTACTCACTCCCTCGGCGGTGGTACTGGAGCTGGTATGGGTACTTTACTCATCTCAAAAATCCGCGAAGAATATCCGGACCGTATGATGTGCACGTTCTCAGTGGTTCCATCACCAAAGGTATTTTTGTAAAAACTCTTTCTCTTATTACCCTTTGTATTGGAGTTTAAACCCATATCAGAAGTCATATTTCAAAAGTTTGACGCGTATATTTAACGTGTTAAATGTTGACTTAACTTGATATTGATCGATTAATAATTATTATTTTTTATTCTTCCTAATATAGGTATCTGATACTGTCGTCGAACCATATAACGCAACATTGTCAGTACATCAACTAGTTGAGAATTCTGATGAAACATTCTGTATTGACAATGAAGCTTTATATGACATTTGCATTCGAACTTTGAAACTAAATACTCCAACTTATGGCGATCTCAACAATTTGGTATCTGCTGTTATGAGTGGAATTACAACATGTTTACGATTCCCAGGTCAACTAAATGCTGATTTGAGAAAATTGGCTGTCAATATGGGTAATTTTGATTCTTATTTCTTTTTTCAATGGTAAATTTATAACTTATGTCATTTCGCTCATCATTTATTATTTGTAATTTATAGTGCCTTTTCCACGTCTTCACTTCTTCATGGTCGGATTTGCACCTTTGTTTCCTCGTGGATCTCAAGGTTATCGCGCCTTGACTGTTCCAGAATTAACACAGCAAATGTTCGATGCTAAGAACATGATGGCTGCCTCAGATCCTCGACACGGTCGTTACTTGACTGTTGCTGCTATGTTCAGAGGTCGCTGTTCAATGAAGGAAGTTGACGATCAAATGTTATCCGTCCAAACTAAGAACAGTTCATATTTTGTTGAATGGATCCCCAATAACGTCAAAAGTAAGCATAATATAAGACATTTGTGTGTGTGTGTATGTGTTGTAAATTTTTATTACCCATTTATTTTTCTAACTTGGTCATATACTTTATATTATAGCCGCTGTTTGTGACATTCCACCAAAAGGTCTTAAAATGTCAGTTACTTTCATTGGTAATTCGACATCTATTCAAGAACTTTTCAAACGTATCAGTGATCAATACACTGCTATGTTTAGACGTAAGGCTTTCTTGCATTGGTATACAGGAGAGGGTATGGATGAAATGGAATTCACTGAGGCTGAATCTAACATGAATGATTTGGTATCCGAGTAAGTTACTCTTTCCTTTTTGCTAATTAATTGTAAAAGCTTTAAGAAGATTTTAAGTTATTAATAATTATATTTTATTGTAGATACCAGCAATACCAAGAGGCCACAGTGGAAGAGGAAGAAGGGGAGTACGAAGAGGAGGAACTTGAGCAGGATGCCGAATAATTTACATTTTTACCATAATTACGCATTCATATTTCAAAACATCATTCTATTTTTTTTCAATTTTTTTTTTTCAATCAATTATCTTAAAATAGATTTTATTAAGTTAAAAATAATCAATCAATTTTACATTTGAATACAATGTATTATTCTTTTTCTTTTAGAATTAACTTTACTATTGAAAAAATTAGCAAAATAACGATAATAAAAATATCTTAAAATAAAATTTATAAAACATGTATTGGAGTTGTGATAAATTCGAATTTTTCATCCGTAATTTTTAATTTACAGTAAGTGTAAATGTGTAATGAACTTGCTTGATTGTACATTACATCCACCTATAAAATTTGAACATACATCGATCTTCAGATACTGAAGAATTAGTGGCATCAGCGGCAATAATCCAAACTTTTTAAATATTACTATAGAAAAGATTTATTCTTTAGTTGACGCTGATTTTTCAAATCATGTTGCATTTTTTAAACTCCTTTATCCACGAATCACGTCCTCCATTTGTATAAGCAATTAATTTATAGGATCAAATCTTTGTTTCAAATCTTGCTACACTTATTTTTGACTTTAACAAGTCAATTTATTTCTGATTTTCAAACTTGGGATTACAGATAATACCATTTCATTCTCACTCCTAAGTGTTTCAGCCGTTAATGATGCATTTTTTAAACTCTGATTCATGAATCACATCCTTCTTCCAAATCATTATCAATTAACAATCTTTTAGCCTGGTTTCAAAATCAAATACTTAACCCTATACTTTTCTCATGATTCTTCTTTTAATATTAATACCATTATTTTATTATAATAATTAAAGAAAGGAATATAACATGCAAATAAGTAAATAATTGATGAACCTCCTAACGTAAGCAACTTTGTTTTCTTTCAAGTAAAGGTGTGATTATTAAACACATTTTCGAGATATGAACCTTTTTGTTTCCAAAAAAAGAAAATTATTTTTAGTTTCTAAGTAATACTTCACTAATATAACGAAATTTCTTTGATCTTTAATTACATTCGAATGTTGTGGCTAATAATACTCATTAATTTTTAAGAATATTTTATAGTCCACAGTAGTTGGTGTTAAGTAAAATAATTAACAGTAAAATGTGTAAAATAATGATTATGTGATCAAATATATTACAATTGACCCACTGTAATCGAGATTGATGTTGTGCCTATATAAATGTAAAGGTGAAATAATTTCTTATATACAAATTTAAACGTAATAAAAAGACTTTCTGCCTCTATTTATAAGTAAATCGATCATCTGATCAATGTGCCTCTCATATGATATTAACTGCTATTCGAGAATTTATAAGAAACAAAAGAAAATCAAGAATAATTATAATATTGAAAAATAAAATACGCAATCTATTATAGCGAAAGTAAGTAAAATGTACCTTAATAGTTTTATATTAATAAATAGTAAAACTAAAAGTACATAAAATAATTTTTTTTTTTCCGATGAAGAAATACATACAAATGGTTTCTCGATCGAAATATAATTACCAAAAATAATATTTTCCAGGTACGTGCTCATAATTCGACTCGAGAACAACAATAGACTTTTCCCGTGTTATGATTATATAGGTACTTCAAATACTTCAAATTTGATTCATCAAAAAAAAAAAATGATTACGTGAAAAATTCTCACGAGTGCGAGTATTGAGATGATTCACTGTTGTGCAGTTTGCGCAGTTTTCAAAAAAAGCATAGATCATGCCGTAATTTTTACAAAGTCAGAGACTAGGTGCGATTGAAATAGCCCAGAATAATGTTAACCAGAGGCTAAAATGGTTCAAAACAGTATGAGCCAGAGTCTAGGCGCTTTGTAGACAGCACAAAATAGTATGAACAGAGGCTAGGTGCGATTGAGATAACTCAAAATAGTATGAATCAAAAGCAAGCGCTTTGGAGCTGCTGTAGTTGATTTGACCAAAATAAACCATTCTTCGTATATTATTTCACTCCAAAAAAAAAGAATTTTAAAAGGTTAATTTTTTTTTTTGGAGAACTTCGCTCAGTTGCGAGAACCAAAACTCTTCTCTTCGCGGAAAAGATCAAACCAACGAGATAAAACATACAGACACGGAAACTCTCCCAATGAATCATCCTTCGACAGTCAATGATTTCTCTACCATCCCACTAGATGAAGTTGGAGATATTCTAATTTCCTATGAAATACCACCACATGGCAAAGGCCTTAGTTCTTTGGTATAGTGCTGTAATTCTTAACCATGTAAGTCTTGTTATTGCTTAGAATTAACACCTAAAATATGTTACTTTCCTTAATTTTGACTTTTATCAAGAAAGTACGGTTTCATAATCCGGTTTTTTATTATTTTATAGTGCAAAAATTATTATTAATTACAAGATTGTACGCAACTTACGTTATCGCCGATGAAGAACATGAAGAAATTATCAAATCCGTATTACTGTAGATCTTGAAATAGAAAAAAAATGTACGCCGGTAACAATGTTACATCGCAGTATTATGCAGAAATATACTTCGTCAAATAAGTTATAAGATTTAATATACACATTATTAACAGTTAAGAATGTCATGCCATACGTACAATATTATATTTTTATGAAAAGGTTTTAATTTTGAACTTTTTCTTTATTAATTTGTTAAAGTAATTTCTTTTGTACTTAAATTGCATAGTCAATTAGTCGTTATTGTGCTATTGTGCTATTTGCACGTCATGAGTAAAGTGAGTAAAGTAAAAAAAATATTTATTTGCCAATTCGCTAATAACATGTTGAATGTATTTAACGAGTAATGTAAGTTAATAAAATTTATAAATAATCAAATACAGTATATACTGTAGTACGAACACATAAAATCGTGTCCCGTGTCAAAAACTATATTTACACACTTTTTTTTTCAAATATTAACCCTTCATCACTAGGAAATTTAAAAGATCCATAAATTTTTGGTTTAATCTTTTCACTAGTAGACTTTTTAATATCATAATTTAACAATAAGTAATGTAATGCAACTTTAATTTCGTTAACAGCAAAGTGTCTTCCTGGACACGTATGTTTTCCTAAACCAAATGTTAGGAAACTATTGTCGGCACGTGTTGCTGGTGAATTCTTTTTCAAGTATCGAAACGCGTTAAATTCATCAGCAGTTTGACTTTGCAATTCTTTATCAAAATGAACTTCTCCTAAACGAATATTAACAAGTCGACCTAATCATTTTATTAGAATGTATATTATTTCATTGGAATTTTTTTAAGAATAAGAATAAAAATGAGTTACCTTTTGGAACTTGATATCCATTTGAAAATGTAAAATAAGAAGAAAGTGTTTTATGTTGCAATGCAACTAAAAAAAAAAACGGGTCATTATAGTCATCATAAAAAATTATCAAAATTAATATGATCTCGAAATATAACGAACATAACGCTTACCATTGTTTACATTTACTCTCAGAGTTTCTTTAATAAAACTATCTAATTTCTCCATTCTAGCGATTTGTTCGGTAGAATAATAAGATTTTTCATTACTTTTATATAACTGCTTTTGTTCTTCTAATATTTCTTTAAGAAATTGTGGATTATTTACCAATTCTATTTTTTTTTTAAAAAAAAAAAGAAAGAGATAAAGTTAATTTATGAAATTTATAAAAAATCATTTCAATATATATATATAATATAATATACTGTACCATGTAGACAGAATGTAAGAGAATTAGAAGTATTATACACAGAAGCAAAGATGGAGATAATCATATTATCAGTTACAACATCAATATCAATAGTATAATCTTTATGTAATAATTCAGTATATCGTTGTAAAATATCAATCTATAGTAAGGAAATGCTTTAATAATCATTTTCCCCAGCTTTAAAATGGTTAATATAAAAATTTACCGGAGAAACGTAATTATCGCCTGATTCTTTCATTTCACGTAACCGTTTTTCAATCACGGGTGTAATCTTTTTTTTAATCAATTCTCTATGCATTTTAAAAGGATTGTTTAAATATTTAAACACGATTCTAAATATAAAAAGAAAATGATATTAGATATTAAAATTTGTTAACTGGCCAAATCAACCATATGATTTACTGTATACTTACATCATTACTTGCTGATGCAAATAAGGATGAATAAAGTTCAAAACAGGTGTAATAGATAAGAAGGGAATAAAATCTGTTGTAACATTAGCAAACGAATTCACCAATTCTTTATCATCAGATAACTCTTCACCGACCATAGTAGCAGCAATCGGTTTTGCAATGATAAATTGAAAGAATTTTAAAGGAGGTTCTAAAACTAATATAATTTGGATTAATTGGGTAGTCGAACTATCGAAGGTAACAAAAACTTTACCAAATAAATTGAATAACTAAATTAAATTAGTTCAACTCATTTTACCTTGCCATTTTCAATCATTTCATCAATAGATTTAATTAGTTGCCTCTGAACTCGTTCTGTGTATAATTTTATCTGCCCAGATAAATTTATTTGAACCATTCTAGGAAGTGTATCAGTGAATTCGTTTGGACGATTCAAAAAGTTTTCAAGTGGAAAGTTCTAAAAAAAAAAAATTTTTCTTTTTATTACATTCTTACGAAGACGAAGGGCTCAAATGTTTTAAAATTTTTTTATAATATTTTATATTTTTATAAAATACCTCTCTGCCAGCTTCATTAAAACAAAAATCATTGTGATTCCTGAAAACTTCAGGAAAAAGTTCTTTACCAACAAAAGTTTGAACTTTACCAAACAAATATAATGAAAAGATTTCCCCGTATTCTGCATGACATTTTTTGATAAAATTCTCGTTATCTTTATAATAATCAATTGTGTGACCAATGATTGGATATTTGTAAGGTACGAGAGGAGGTTCTTTCTAAATATTTTATTTATTTATTTAATTTTTAAACAAATAAATTCACTTTATATATATATACACACAATAATTTTATTATAAATAAGCAGATTTATTGTATTACCAGATTTAAATGTTTTCCCCTACGCAATAAAACAAATGAAATCAACATGATTAATGAGATAAAAGCAAGGTGAACATAAGCATCATTTAAAATTAGTCCCATCTTTATAAAAATACTGTTGTTAACAAAAAAAAAGTGAAAGAAAGAATAGCACTTAAAGTTTATGGTAAAAAACAAGCTTATATTTTTTTGTCTTTCATAATACAATTATGCATACTGATGAGCGTTTAATATTGTCAATGACCTTTTTTTTTTATACGAGAAATTATTTTGCTCATTAAACGGATGCACACATATCCGTCCCATTTTATAGTATTTGTAAATGATTTTCAAATATTAATATCAGATGAATTAAAGAACTTTTAAGGTGTTTACATTATAAATTGTAATTGAATCATTTCACTCTGTCAATGGTCTAATAAATAAAGTCATATTCTCAATGAATTTGTTAATAAATAAAGAATGTAACAAAGATCTTCAAAAAAAGAATAAAAAATATGATTACGCGTGCTCTTATCATATAATCACATAATCAGCAATGAATATTGTTCATACCTACAAATACTGTACTTGTAATGTGCTAACTCGACTCGAATATTAAAGTAATTGTATTAAATTTTTGGTATCTAAAAAATTTTAATATCTAAAAAATTTTATTGTTGGGATTGTCGGGTACTCGGGTTACTGGGTTATTAGAAAAGAAAATAACACGACACGGGTATACCTTAATTAAATTTTAATATAGCATAATTACATTATATAGTATATACAATTATACTTTATTATACTTTATACTACGCCATCATATATATATGTCACCTTTTACAAAATTTTAATATTATTTCAACAAATTTTAAAGAACTCGGAAATATTCGGTAAAGCTTGATATAAAACTTTACCGAATATTTCCGAGTTCTTTAAAATTTGCTAAGTGGAATACACGATTTTTGCCTGATACACGATTTATTATAATTATCAAGAATCACGTGATACCGGATAAGAATTTTAGAATTTTAATGAAAAAAAAATTAAAAGCCGGGTTGCCGGGTCATTTCAAAATTGCTATGTTATGAGAACCAAAAAAATTAAGTTTGCATGGCCTAATGTAGATCAAACAAAATCCTTCTGATGTTTTCGAAACTTTTAGATATCGTTAAGCGGTAACGAAGAGTAAAGTTGAGATCAAGTGTTGAAATGACAACATAAAAATGTCCATTTTAGCATTACACCGTTATAATTTTATTATTAATGCAAAAAATGTATCATCCTTTCGGATAACTACGTATTATTATAATCCGAAAGCAAGAAATTGATGGTAAAGTTGGTGAAACTTTAATTTAATTGAAATGCTTACTTGTGAAATAGAGTCTAAATTTGGATCTACTATACTACAAGAAATCAGAATGAAAAACCAAAACTGGGATTGATCAACTAAAAATAGTTTTGTGTCTGCTTTTTAAACTTAACCGAATCTGCTATTGATAGCTAAATTGACAAACTTGGAACTTATTCAATTAAAAGTAGCTTAACTACAAAAAAAAATCGGAATATGTTTGGTACGTAGTACGTTAAGGAAAGGCATTTAAGAAAACGCATCGGTATGAGTAACCATGTGCATAACAGATACGACCTAAAATAATTTTTCGCGCATAATAGTACACTAATTTAGTACACTGTGATACATGATTCGTAATCGTAACATTTCTTCATTTCTTGTACTTACAAATTTCAATTTTTAACTATAAAGAATACAGAATCAGCCAATTGTAGATAATTAAAAGAACAAATAAAGCAATTAAAGAACAAGAGATTTATCTGTTGCGTACAGTATAAAGATACAACATAGAATTAAAATTTTATCCTCGTCATCCAAATGATCCAATTTAATTCTTATATATATATATATTAAATCTCATTTGATTTTTTTCCTTCGCAATTCGTTACCCGTTTCAGCATGGTCTCGAATTTGGGATTTGGGATTTAGGATTTGGGATTTGGGGATTGATTATGTATGTACGACATATAACAAAATTTGAATCCGAAACACCTTAACTGTAAAAGTATAATCATATTATTTATTTCCTTATTTATTTAATAAATATAATACGAGACATATAATTTTGTGCTCATTTTATATTTTGGCTATTAGTTGTTTACTACATTTGGGTTAAATGGGCAGTCCAGTTTAATTCAAATGATACAGGAAAAATAGGGGTAAAATTAATGATATATTACAAATAAGGATATTTTATATAAAGAAATTCCAAGTTCCAAAATCCTGACAATTGGTTGCATTTTACATTAATTATAATTAATTACGATATTCGAATAAATTATTTATCCTCCATTTTTATTTGCAAACTTTAAATAATTAGTAATCTGATTGGTTACAAATAATTACATGAAATATTGTACACACCAACCCTCGTGATGTCATGTAATACGAATCTTTAATTTATAATATTAAATGTATTTTTAAAGCCAAATTAAAAATTAAAAACAGGATTTCGTGGTGTAATCGTATGAATAATCACTTGTAATCTTTAAAAGTATTATCAGTTATCGCGCGAAAAAAATTACACAAGGAAAAATAATTGAACAAAAAAATTAATTAAGTATTTGAAACAAACCTTTTTAACAGACTTTGTTTATTATGGTTATAATATTCATATTGTTTATATCAAGACAAAGCTTTATTCAAAATTAATTGGCGTTATACTGTTTATCAAACATGATTTGAAACGATCTACAAATAAGAATTATTATTCAAATAAAACAGAGAATCCTGTTAAAAAAAAAATCAACTTTTTTTATAAATAATAAGTTTTTATCTATCCTTTTAACAAAATTTTTTATCATTTTATAAATTAAAAAATAATGTCGAAAATCGTGATGCAGGCTACCGATTTCGACGATGATATTAATTGGATAGAAAAAGCGGTTGAAAAAAAATATATCAAATATTATGATCATTCTGAATTTACTCATACAAAACCAATGGACGAGAGTAGTTCAGTTGGAAGCATATTTCGAGCAAACTGGAAAGATACAGATACTCTTTTGGTGGTGAAAACCCCATCTAAATTGACCGTTAAAGAAATTATAAATGAGGTCAGTAATTATGTTATCAGTAAATAATTTACTTCTTTTTTTAAAAAAAAATAATGAAAATTTCATTTTATTTAATTATTTTTATCAACTTTATAACAGCTTAAAATGCAATTAGAAGTTGATTTTCATGCAAACATTTTACGGTTTTATGGAGTTTCAAAAGTTGACCTTCAGTATTCACTAGTTTTAGAATATGCAGATGGCGGGTCATTATATTCTTACTTAAAAGAGAATATCAAAAATCTTGAATGGGATGATAAATATCGTTTAGCATTCCAACTTGCAAGTGCTATAGAATGTATTCATAATAAAAACATAATCCATAGTGATCTGGTAATGTCTATAGTTTTCTAATATTCTTTAATTTATAAAAATAAAATTTACTCATCTTTGATTTTTTTTGTTTTTAGCATGCACAAAATGTACTGGTGCATAAAAATACTATTAAACTCGCAGATTTTGGCTTATCTAAAAAATCGAATGAAGTATCAGATAACTCTAATGATGTATTTGGTTTACTACCTTATATAGATCCAAAATACTTGAATAATGTTTGTATCAAAGATGGAAGTCGTAAATTCTATTTAGTAAATTTCAAATCAGATATTTATAGTATTGGAGTACTTTTCTGGCAAATATCGAGTGGAAGTAGACCATTTGAAGATTCACAATATGATGCAAGTTTAGCTTTTCATATAATGGAAGGAAATAGAGAAGAGATTATTAAAGGCACACCTCTTGAATATAGTAATTTATATACAGGTAAATAATTCATAATTTTACGTGAAAAAAAATAATGATTTAATGTAATAAATTAATGATGTAATTTCTTTTTTTTTTTTTAATTAAGCGTGTTGGTCAGATAATCCTGATGAAAGACCACCCATTCAAAAGGTCGTTTTATGTCTTAAATCAATAATTTCTCAGGAAGTTGATGAAGAAATCAATTCTATTATTTCTACAAAAAATGATGTTGAGAAAGAATCATCAAATGAAGATTTTGATTATATAGATGATTTTGATGATTTAGTTTTAGGTGATGATGATTGCCAGATTTCTCTGACAGAAGTTGATTCGGATTTGATCGCGAGTGATTCTATACAAGATGATATGATTGAACCTATACAAGATGATGATTTAATTAAAGAAAGGCTTGATTCAACAGATAACATTCAAACTATTATTGATGAATTAATTGAACTTTCAATTAAAATACAAGATGAAATAGGGTATAATTCTAAAGAAATGAATCAAATTTTTAATCAATATATCTCTCATATCGACCAACCAAACAAAATTTCTGATTGGCTTATTGAAAATCAAACATCATCTCAATATATTTTCTTCTTTGGTTTTCTTTATTATAATGGTATTATTGTAAATAAGAATGATGATGAAGCGTTTGAACTACTTTCAAAAGCATCGGAGAATAATTATCCTATTGCTCAAATTTTTTTGAGTAAATGTTATCAAAATGGAATAGGAACTGATGTCAATAATGATTTGGCAAATACTTATTTAGAAAAAGCTGCGGAAAATAATAGTGTATGTGGTCAAGTCCATCTGGGTAAATTATATGAAAATGGTAAAGGGGTTGCCAAAGACTCAAATAAAGCCTTTTATTGGTATGAAAAATCGGCAGAAAATGGAAACAAATTTGCTCAATTTAATTTGGGTAGATGTTATCATCATGGTATTGGGGTTATTAAGGATGATATTAAAGCAATTGAATGGTATGAAAAATCAGCCAATCAAGGATATAATAATGCTTTATATATTTTAGGATCATTATATGAAGGAAAAAAGGATTTAAGCAAAGCATTTGAATGGTATCAAAAATCGGCGGAAAATGGAAGCAAATTTGCACAATTTAATTTAGGCAGATATTTTCAAGATGGACTAAGTGTTGACAGAGATTATGAAGAATCATTTAAATGGTACGAAAAATCTGCTAAGCAAGGATATAATAATGCAATATATACTTTAGGATTACTACATGAAAAAGGCAGAGGAACTAATAAGGATTCTAAAAAAGCATTTAAATATTATATGGAAGCAGCAATAAATGGGAATAAGTTTGCACAATTTAATTTAGGAAGGTTTTATCAATATGGTAAAGGCGTTAATCAAGGAGATGCTTTTGAATCATTTAAATGGTACGAAAAATCTGCTACGCAAGGATATGATGATGCACAATGCAAACTTGGATTTTTATATGAAAGAGGAAAAGGGACTAAAAAAGATATACAAAAGGCAGTTGAATGGTACGAGAAAGCAGCAGGAAATGGAAATAAATTCGCACAATATAGTTTAGGTAGATATTATCAATATACTAAAAAAGATAGTGTTAAGTCATTAGAATGGTATGAAAAATCGGCCAATCAAAATTATAGTAAAGCGCAATGTAACCTTGGATTATTATATGAAAATAAGAAAGATTCTGAAAAAGCACTTGAATGGTACAATAAAGCAGCAGAAAATGGAGATAAATTTGCCCAATATAAACTTGGATTTTCATATGAAAAAGGCGAAAATTTTGATAAAGCATTTGAATGGTATCAAAAATCAGCAAATCCACCAAGAATTGGAGATAAAGTAGCACAATATAATTTAGGCAGACTTTATGAAAATGGATTAGGCGTTGAAAAAGATGAAGTCAAAGCATTTGAATGGTATGAAAGAGCAGCAGAAAATGGAAATAAATTCGCACAATTTAATTTAGGAAAATATTATGAAAATGAGGATAACATTAAAAAAGATGATACTGAAGCATTTAGTTGGTATAGAAAAGCAGCTAACCAAAATCATAGTGAAGCACAATATATTTTAGGATTTTTTTATGAAATTGGTAAAGGAACTAAAAAAGATGAAGTTAAAGCATTTGAATGGTATAAAAAATCAGCAAATCCACCATTTGAACGGTATAAAAAATCAGCAAATCCACCAAAATTTGGAAATAAAGTAGCACAATATAACTTAGGAAAATTTTATGAAAATGGAATAAGTGTTGATAAAAACTTAAAAGAAGCACTAAAATGGTATGAAAGATCAGCTAAGCAGGGATATGATAATGCACAAAATAAACTTGGATGGTTTTATGAGAACGGTATTGAAATAGAAGAAAATTTGAAAGAAGCATTTAATTGGTATAAAAAATCAGCAAAAAATGGAAACGAAGTTGCACAGTATAATTTAGGTAGATTTTACGAGAATGGAATACATGTTGATAAAAACTTAAAAGAAGCATTTGAAAGGTATAAGAAATCGGCTGAACAAGATCATAATGATGCACAAGAAAAACTTGGTTATTTTTACGAAAATGGCATTGAAATAGAAAGAAATTTGACAGAAGCAATATATTGGTATCAAAAAGCAGCAGAAAATGAAAGTGTAGTTGCACAATATAATTTAGGTAGATGTTATCAAAATGGGCTAGGAGCCAATAAGGATATAAACAAAGCGATTGAAATGTACGAAAAATCAGCAAAGAAGGGATACGGTGATGCACAATGTATTCTTGGTGATTTATATGAAAATAATACAGATATAGAAAAAGATGTAGATAAAGCATTTTATTGGTATAAGAAAGCAATAATAAATGGAAATAAAATTGCACAGTATAATTTAGGTAGATTTTATGAAAATGGAATAAGTGTTGATAAAAACTTAAATAAAGCATTCGAATGGTATCAAAAAGCAGCAGAAAATGGAAGTGAGATTGCAAAATATAATTTAGGTAGATGTTATCAAAATGGCATAGGAATTAATAAAGATATAAAAAAGGCAATCGAATGGTATGAAAAATCAGCTAAGCAAGGGTATGGGGAAGCACAGTGTTTTCTTGGAATTTTGTATGAAAAAGGCGAAGAAATTGAAGTAGATTTAGAAATTGCATTTTATTGGTATCAAAAAGCGGCAAAAAGTGGATACACACCCGCAGAATATTATTTGGGTAAATGTTATCAAGACGGAATTGGTATTGATAAAGATGAAGCTAAAGCGGTTGACCATTATAAATTATACGAAGATGCTGCTAAATTGGGAAATATAAATGCAAAAGAACGTTTAGCACAAGATGATATACAAAAGTCTGTTGATTTACACAAAGTTGTTGATAAAGGAGATGTAAAAGATACACAAAAAGAAAATACCAATAAAAAGACGACCGCTAAAAAAGGAACTAATACAAAAGAAGCTCAGAAAAATCCACCACAAAAAACGACGACCAAATCAATTGCTGCTAAAGGAGGAAAGAATGATGCAGATGCACAAAAAAATTTAGCACAAGATGATAATAAAATCGAAAAAAATGCGGTAATTGCTAATGGTCAAGATACTAAGGTAAGACTTTTTTTTTGTTTTTTTGTCTGATTAATGATTAACATTCTAACCAATTTTTATAATCTAGAGTAAGAAACTGAAGAAGAAACCTACTGGTTAACCGAAATTATAATATTTGTTTATAAAGTAACTATAATTAACAATAGCATTCTGTATTAATATTATTAGTATTCAATAAAATTATATTTATTATCTTTATTTGTATATTTAAAAAAAAATAAATACAATTTTATACAGTAAATGAATAAATGCTAAAAAGCAGTATTATGTATAATATATATATATGAAAATTATCATTTTAGGCGTAAACTTATATTAAATTTATACCTTATGTTAATTTACACCTTGTACATGTAGGTTTACGCAAACCTGATATATAAATTTAAAAGACGATGATCAATTCAGCGTTAAGAAAATAATAAATTTGAGTAATTGCGATAGTCAATATACTACCACTAAAGTTATTTTTTGATTAATGGTTAAATTCTAACCAATTTTATAATCTAGAACAAACAGAAGAATTTCCGTATTATTGATGTAAAAATAGCGTACGACTGTTAAAATGCATAATAAATTATTATTATGGAAAAATATTTTGAATTATAATAGCCTTTTTTCGAACATCTATTTTAGGGTTCTTTAGTAATGCTGCTACTAAAATCGAAATTGTAACATTATTTCATATTTACAAGGAAGATGCTTTTGGTACTTTTCATCACTTTGTTTATCGGAAGAAAACCATTCAACTTTGATGAAATATATTATGTCTAAAAAAGGGAATTTCATTTACACGTAAATCTTTCTTTTTTAGTATATCGATATCCTTTTTGGGGCCTTTTTTTCCTTTCGAATTTTTTTTTTTTTTATTTAAAAAAAAGCGTTTAATAATGTCCGATAACACACAACAAACTATTGAATATTATAAATCTGAACTTATTAAAAAAGATGAAATTATCAAAAAATTATCCGAAGAAGTTGATAAAGACCAATTAAAAGAATTAAAGATTCAATATCAAGAACTAAGTGATATTGTTTATAATTTAAAAACTGAGAATGAAAAACTAAAAATAGAAAATGAGAAACTCTTAGAAGACTTAAAGAAGAAAGAAATTAAAGTGGAAGAGAACGAGGAGAAAAAAGAAGTTACCGACGGCAGGAAGTTAGTTTTTCTTCTTTCTCTTTTTTTTTTTTTTTTGCTTGTTGATGTAATTCTGTTTGAATCATTTGTTTATATTATTTTATTTTGCATTATTAATGGTAACAGTAACCAGCAAGATTCTTTATTATCACAAGAATCTAAACAAGAAAAAGTAGGAACAGCAGAAACAGCAGAAATTGTGGCTGTTACACCAGCCTCTGAAGCGACTGAACCAGTAATCCCTGAAGGAATCAAGACAGGAAACCTTCAAAAACAATCTCAATTGCTTAAGACATTTGATCGACGTTATTTTGTGCTCACTAAAGATACATTGTACTATTATAAATCTAGTAATGATCCATCAAATGAAAAATCTATTGATATTTCATCCGATTGTAACGTCAAAATAGTAGAAGGGACAACATTCGATCTTGAAGCTAAGTCAAGAACATACACATTAATTGCTGATTCGGTAGAAGAACGTGATTCATGGATCAAAGAGCTTAAGGAGTGTAATGTTAACGTTATACCTTCTGGAAAGGAGAAATCAACATTTAATAAGAAAAATGAAGAATCAACGAAACTTGAAATACTTAAGAGTGAGAATGAAAGTGATATTAATATTCAACAAAAACCCGTATTCCCCGAAGGAGTTAAGACAGGAAACCTTCATAAACAATCTCAATTGCTTAAAACGTTTAACCAACGTTATTTTGTGCTCACTAAAGATAAATTGTATTATTACAGATCTAGTAATGATCCATCAACTCAAAAGTCAATTGATCTTTCATCCAATTGTAAAATCAAAATAGGTGAAAGTGCAAAATTTGACCTTGAAACCAAGTCAAGAACATATAAATTAATTGCTGATTCGGAAGAAGATCGTGATTCATGGATCAAAGAGCTTAAAAAGTGCAACATTATTGTTATATCTCTCGAAAAAGAGAAATCAATATCAATTAATAATATTGAAGAATCCGCAAAACTTGAAGCACCCAAGAGTGAAAATGAAAATGAAAATGATATTGATATTCAACAATCCGTTGACAATACTGTTGATAAAGCCACTGATGTCGTTGAAGTTTCAGAATAGACAGAATTTATAGGAGAATAGAGGAAATCGTTGTTGAAATGACATCCACTACAATAATAATTGTCATTATAAAGTCAAAGGTAAAAAAATTTGTTGTAGAATTCCTTTATGATGATTATTTTTATTAATTAACGTATTGGTTGAATAGGTTCTACTTATTATACATTGTTTATTAAATTAAACGAAGTGAATGAAGAAATCAATCCTATAATATATATGAAGATTCATATATATTAGGACTTTGGATGAATATTTAGATTAGAATTGTTATATTATTTAATTCAATAATAACATTAATATAATTTTAATTACACTGTTAAAATTAAATGAATCAATAGTCAATGTATAACTTTAATCAAGCGTTGAATAAACAATCAAATAAAATGTATTTATACAATTATAAATTCAGCTGTTATTAAGATTTCCCAGCGTGACCACTAATAATTTAACCGTTAAAGGGTGCCCTGATATGAGGCTAAAAGCACTTCCTACTTTGATAAGAATAATTATGGATTTCTCTTCGTAATTTACATATTATGGTACTATATAATATCTGTCTCTTTTGAGAGACTATCTAATTTAATTTTATAAAACATTGTTATTAATAAATTCTAAAAATGCTAATTTGAGATATCCCCTACTTAGAATATTATTCATGGCAAACTTAAAGTCCTATTTTGTAGGATCACCAAAATTAAAAATTCTATTAGCCATAAAAAAAATATCGGGAGAAAATAAGTTTATTACATGATTGATTAATATTCATTACTAATAAAATATTATTTGAATGATAATATTACTTATTACATAAAATATTGATCATAATGTATAAGATTAAACCTAATGTCAAGATCCACAATAATAACGACCCCCCTATTTATCAAAAGATGGAAGCTTCAAAAAAAGTTGTATGCTTTATGCTAGATGAAGAGAAAAGATGTTATATCGCAACAGATATTTAAGGTTGCAAACTTGATAATCACTAAAAAATAAGTTAGTCACCTGATTTACAAAAAGGGCAGTTAAAATTCTTAAACGTTTACAATAGAAATTACGAGTTACTATTTGGTAGTATCGCTAATAATTCTTGTACAAGTTCAAAAATAATTAAATGAAATTACTCAAATAAATCTGGATCGGAACGCGTTTATTATTTATTCTTACTAATTATAAGTTTTTATTCTAATTGTATTGGTAAAACCTTCAGGTTTCCTAAATTCTTCCTCATTTCATTTCAAAATGTAAAATACGGATTAATGTAGAAGATTTAATCAAATTGTGCGTTGTGGTGCAGTAATTTTAATTTAAATAATAAATGAATGAAACGAAATAGATTTCATTTTGAATATGATTTTCAAGATTTCCTCCGAATTTCTACACGTGATAGCCACAATGTCATAATCTCAAAGCCCAGAATTTTGTAAATCATGACTTCTTGTGGCGTATCGTAATTAATTTATAATTTATAATAAATTCGCGAATGTTAATCCTGGCAACATGTTATTGGTTATAATTAGCTTCTTGAAAAGATTCCGAGCAATGATTCCAATATCATATCTTGTACAGTTTCAACAAGGATATCACCAGAAAGAATCCTGTTACTTTCATACTATCACCACAGTATCACCATAAAAATTTATTTAAGGCAATTATTTGTAATACCAAGAAAAAAAGCCTTTATCTCTAAAAATCATTAAATTTATTCAATACACGTATTTTTTTTTTTAAAAAAAAAAATACCAGTGTCGAAATCTTTCTTTTTAATATAATTAATATATATTCAATAAATTAGTTGGTCGTTATTAACGAAATTTTATAATAAATATGGCACAACCACCTACTATTTTAGCATTTTTATCTGCAACTGGAACTCTCCCGATCTTAACATATTGTGCTGCTAGCATCTTGATGACAGTTACGAACAAATATGTTTTGTCTGGTTATGATTTTAATATGAATTTTTTACTGTTAGGAATACAGGTTTATATTAACTTATTCTATTATTAATAATTTTCAATTTGTTATTTGGTCTTGGCATTTGTTGTATTAATTTTACTAAACATTGTATCTTATTAATTTACTTAGTCAATAGTATGTGTGGTTTTATTAAGAGCTTTTAAAATGCTGAATCTTGTTTCATTTCGAGAATTTGATTTAGCATTGTCACGAAAATGTAAGTACCGTTATAACTTTTATAATTTAATTTGCATTATTTCAATATTAACGTGATTAGATCATGTTTAATAGGGTTTCCTATTGCAATGTTACTTGTTGCTATGATTTATACGGGAAGCAAAAGGTAATACTTTTTTTTAAAAAAAAAAAGGAAAAAAAATTTGTAATTTGTAAAAACTAATTTTTTTATTTATTTTATTTGTTTAAATAGTTTACAATATCTTTCAATTCCTGTATACACAATATTTAAAAATCTAACAATCATTTTAATAGCATATGGAGAAGTTATTTGGTTTGATTGTAGTATATCAAGATTGACAATGACAAGTTTTTTGTTGATGGTTTTCTCATCTATTATAGCGGCATTATCGGATAGTTCCAGTGCGGTTGTAAAATCTTCTAGCATCACATTTGATATAGGATATTTGTGGATGGCATTTAATTGTATTTCCTCTGCTGCATTCGTTTTAACAATGAGGAGACGTATTAGATCAACTAATTTTAAAGATTTCGATACTGTATATTACAATAATTTATTATCAATACCTTTATTAATGACAATGAGTCTCATGGTCGAAGATTGGAGTGAAAAAAATTTCGAAAAAAATTTGTAAGCGAAAATCACATTTTTCCTTCTTAATTAGTCATTTATTATATTTACTTATTATTATTTTCTTTCTTTAAGGCCTGAGGATATACGTACCACGCTCATTACGGCCATATTATTCTCAGGAATATCGGCATTTGGTATTTCATACACATCAGCTTGGTGTGTCAGAGTAACTTCGAGTACAACATATAGTATGGTTGGAGCATTAAATAAATTGCCTGTAGCTGCAAGTGGAATGATTTTTTTTGGAGATCCAATCACAACAGGAAATGTTTCTGCCATATTTGTTGGTAAATATCATTTATTTTTTCTTCCTTTTTTTTTATAATTACATTGTCAACTATTATTAATTTTCGTCAATTATTTATTTCAGGATTTGTTGCCGGAATTCTATATTCAATTGCAAAAACAGAACAACAAAAACCTATAAAACCATCTGTATATATTCCAATATCTAATAAAGAATTGCCACAAACAACAACGAATGATAACAATACGACTGAAATTCAATCAAATCTTCTTAATAATGACGATGATCACAGAGTAATTAAAATTGAAGACAACAATCTATCAGAAAAAATGTAATATGTTCAATGATTTTTTATTTATTATTTAATTTTATATTTTGAAGGAATTATAGAATCATGTTTTATAGAAAGAGTATAATCCTTTTTTTTTTTGTAAGAATCATTAATCGATTAAATGTATTAATATTAATTTAAACCCAATATCTTTATATTCAATTAATTTACTATAAAGTACATACAGAATAATTTATTTCTTTATGATAAATAAATATTTCTAATTGTTAATTCACACAAAAAAAAACAAAATTAATCAAAATAATAAATATAATAAAGTTCAACTTCAGTTTGATAAAACAATAATTTCATCGCCTGACGAAATATCATAATACGATAGCTGCCTCAAATCATCATCCAACTCTAATTTAGATTGTTCGTTCTAAAATATAAAAAAAAATTAGAAAAAATTGTATTAATTTCATCATCAACTTTATAATATCTTACTTGAAAATTAATTATAACATATAACTTTTGTTGAGATGATGGGACTTTAAATAATTTTTGAAGTAAATTCCTTAAATTTCGGATTTCCATTGTTCCCAATAGTTTTTTTGATAATTTTTTTATTGGTTCTTCTTCTAATCTATTTCTATGACTTATGGTTATTTCTACATGAGAAACGAAAATATAAAAACATCATATTAATAAAAAAACACGCAAAAAAACTAAATGTTGCATAAAATACAAACCTAATAATCTATCCTTGAGAACACTACTTGAGGCTTTCTGGCTAAATTCGTCAGCTACTGGCGTACCATGTATTTCACATAATTCTTTGAATCTTGGATGATTTTTCTCTACCTCTTCAAGTGGTTTCATATCTTTTACACATAATCCGAGATAAAATCTTTCTGCATTTATTCTGTCTCCTAAAGAAATCTATGTTTAAAAAAAGAGTTATTAGTATTTTAATGTTAGACAATGATAGAACGAGTACCAAAATACTTATATAACTTACAATACTGCCATTCAATGTTGTTAATCCTTTGATTCGACCAATTATTGATATATGGGCCTCTTCCATTTTTTCTTCTATTGTTTTTAGAAAAGAATAAAATCATTTAATAATACAATTACTAAAATATAAATATACAAATCCAATTACAGACTATTTGTATCTTTAATAAAGGGATTCTTCTTGATTCTCAATTCATGCAGAGAAGGAAATTTGTTAAGTTCATCAACACTTTTCCAGTCATCAATCTTATTCTCACTAATATTCAAATATCGTAATTTTGAAAAAGCATCACCATTTTCACTTGGATAATATATCCGATCAATTGCATTATTGTTAACAAAAAGAATTTCTAAACTTATTATCGAAACGATAAATTGATGATTAGAAAATATAAATATAAATTAATATTATGCTGCTGAAACTTTGTATTACCTTGGCAACTCTGAAAATCTTGCAATTTCATCAAAACTAGATATTAAATTGGACTCGAGATTGATAATTTTTAATTTTGTAAAACCCTTGATTTTACTAGCATTTTTGAGGGTTTCTTTATCGTTCTCATCAATATCCTCGGAAAGCTTAATATTATTGAATCCTAACTGCAAATTTTCTAAACTTGGAAAATTTGGTTCAAGTAATTCTATCTAATTTTAATATACTGTTAAAAATAATAAAGATTGAGTTAACGAACCAAATAATTGAATAAAGCAAACCTGCTTCCAAGAAACTTTGGTATAATTAAGTGAAAGACTTTTTAGGTTTGCAAACGCATTTGGGAAGCTAGGCGAAATTTCCAAAACTTGAAATCGATTATAACTGTGAAACAAAAAAATTTATTATATATAAACTTTGAGTAACTCGTCTTATTTCTAACCTTACTTCAAACGTAAAACTTCCAATTTCTCGAGTTGCCCACAAATGTTAGCAACTGTTTCCCAATCTGATAATAAATTCTTTGACAAATTCAAGTCTATAATATCTGAAATAATTTTTTTTTTTTTGTTAAGAAGACTGGAAAATGCAATAGAACTTCAATTTCTAATTACTCACTTGGACATGTTTTTTTGATTTCGCCCGGTTTCCCAGCTGATGATACTTGCTCAAAGGAAAGTCCAACCTCGGTTAATCTATCCAATTGTCTTTTTAAATCATAAATAATAATATTATTAATAAAAATTATTAAGAATGAATAAATATATTTTAAGGAATATTTACATACTTTTGTTTTTGCCGAATTTTATCCCATCCTAATGCTTCGACTTCTAAACTTGTACCTGCCCAATGAAGCACGTCCAAATCCTTTTGTTCGTCGGATGTTTCATCATTTCTTTGATACTTTGTCGCATTTTCTTCTACATCAATATATCTTTCGATAACAGCAGCAACAAAACTTCGACCAGTATTTATCTTTGAAGAGTAACGAATAAAGGAACCACTATTAGGCACACTGTAGAAAAAAAAACATTAATTATCATGAATATGTAAATTTAATTTAATCAGGCATTTATTTATAGCAGACTAACCTACAAGTAAAATAACGAACACCCTCGTGGAAACCATCATGTTTCCCTCTTGATATATTGTCCCACTCTAATCCAATCCATTCCCCCTTTGTTGGCGGAACTGCACCAACATATCGAACGGTTGCTAATTGATTCTCAACCTGCACACGTTTATTTAAAAGACTTTCTAGGGCTATCGCGTCCTTGTTGTCAGGTATTGGACCCATACTGTGATAACAAAAATCTAATTATCTGTTGAATTACCAGCTAGACATTAATTTAACTTATTAAATGATAATATTAAAATTTTGAATTACAAAATTAATTCCTTCAAAAAAAAAAGAACGAAAAATAGATCATTATATAGTAACCGCCGCACGTGAAATCACGTGAAAGACTCCGATTTGCAAGCTGCGCCATTTCATAAATGTCTGAAAAATCTTACAATCACATTTACTTCGAATTATTTAATTATGATAAGTCTTGTTCGTTGTGTTTTTGTTTTAGCGTTATTGTTCGGGTTTTTAAACGGAACTTACTTGGCGCTAGAGTATGAAAACTTCGCTACAGTCTATCATAAGCTTCCTCACCACACTGAATATTCAAAACGTGGAGAAGTTGCTGTAACAGCTTCTCGTGCAAGATACTCAGAGTCTGAAGATGCGTTATCGAGCTTTGATATATCAAAAAATTTAGAGGAAAACGAATTGTATCTTGTTAAAATAGTTAATAATGAAAATCCGAATTATGTCACTAAATTTTTCACCAAATCGGTTTGTTAATTAAATTTAAATCTGTTTTTGAATGAAAAATAGAAGAATATATATATTTAATTTATTTTCGTTTCACTTTTAGTGCTTGTTAAAATCTTCAAATTTTGAGGATGAGATAATAATTCATCTAGACAAAAATGATAAATTATTTCATTTTGATTATTACACAAGTAGTGACCAATGCAATAACACAATTGATCCGGTAATTAAATTATAATCTAAGGCTGCAACCTTTTCTGTTTATTAATTTATCTAATTCCTTAACTTGTTAGCATACTGGAGTTCTTAAAACTACTGTTCAAACCATCAAAGCAGTAAAGGGTGTTGCGTGAGTAATGTTATGTTTCACTATATTAATATAAAGTTATTAAGTTAAATTCTCACATATTTCTTCTATTAAATAAAAAAAATTCTCAAAGTCCAAAGTTAAATAAAGCAGTGCCTTTGAGAGAAGATGGTACTGTAGAAAAACCACCCGAAGAAAAAAGCTTTTTGCAAAAATACTGGCAAGTGGATTTACTTGAATTTAATTATATTTCTATGAAACAATTAAATTAATTTTCCATTACATTAATAGGTGGTATTTCATACCTCTTATTATAATATTATTAACTGGAGGCCCACCTGAAGAATCTCAGCAGGGTGGACAGCAACAGCAACAGCGAGGTGGACAGGCAGTGAGACCTGCTCGTTAATAATTTTTTGAAATTAAATTTAAATTAATAATAAATAAGAAATCTAATACAACTGATATTGAGAAATTTATAAAAAAAAAATATCCTACTCGTCCTTCTTGTTATAATGAATTGCATTGATTTTGGATTAAAAAATTTTTACCAATAAACTTACATTTATAACGTACAGTTAATTGCATCAGTATTTATTCATGTATATGACTCTCATCCTGTGATATTAAAATTTCTAATTTTGAACTTAATGTTAGAAAATTATTTTTTATTAAAAACATTATTTGGTTTCACAGTCAGAGTTTGGGGGTCTAGCTCATATGGTAGAGCGCTCGCTTCGCATCGCCGCGTGAATGCGAGAGGCACTGGGATCGATACCCAGGTCCTCCATTTTCGATAAATTTTTTTTTTTTTTTATGCATTACAACCTATAAATTTTTCACTAAATTTCGACTAATAACTTGTAATATATTTCACTTTTATAAAATAAAACATATACAATGGTGCACGAATCTTTAAGATTGTGAGTATTATCTTAACAACAGTTTGATAGATCGTGTATTGTAGGGTTGCATTACGCGAAAACAAGGCTTTCAGCCTTCCAACTAGACGAAAATAACATCACTTATTTCATCACAGATACGCTACCAACGACTCGTATACCTTAGTACCCTATTACCTTGACCCGAATAAAGCAGCTCAGACTTTAGTTATAAACAGAGATTCTGGTGAATGCTTGTTGGACAGTGCTAGTAAGCTTTACTTTGTTGTACGAATAAATTTTTTCTTTTTGAAAATACTTACTCTTAAACTTTGTTAATTGAGCAAAGTTCCCGATCCGACCGCACACACTGAGTCTTTAACAGTATATGGAGTTTTCGGTATTATTAATTTGTTAGCAGGTATAAGGAAAATTACATCTCAGAATTTGATCAAATCGTTTGAATTATAGATCAATTAATTATCTGATAAATTTTAAATAGGCGGATATCTTATAGTGATTACCGGACGAGAACGTATTGGAAGGTTAGGTATACACGATATTTTCCAGGCAAATCAATTTAGAATTCTTCCATTCGCGAAAAATAATAATGGTTTATCAGAAGCACAGGTATAGTTAGTGATCACGCTTGAATAATATTTAAAATTGATTGATTTTAAAAATATCTTTAATTAGGCACATGATGAACAACATTATTTGTCACTTGTGGAAAGTCTTCTTAAATCTGGAACATATTACTTTTCCTACACTTATGATCTAACTCATACTTTGCAAAGGCAAGCACAATTGACATCTGGACCTCTATGGCAGAGAGTACGCAAAATCTCATTTTTATTTAAAAGAACGTTAAATATCGACATAGTTTACAATGATTTATCTTTTTATATAATATTAGGCCGATGACAGATTCTTTTGGAATCGTTATTTGCAATCAAAACTTATTGATGTCACTACTAGAAATCCTGACCAAGATGTAAGTATAAATTTTTTTTATGTATTCTATCGACATTAAATATTATTACTAACAATTATTTCGATGATTAATAGCTAAGCGATTTTATTCTTCCAGTGGTGTTTGGATGTATGATATAATTATTAGTAAATTTTTTACTCAAAATTATTCAGAGTAACTAATCTTTTTCCTCGTTACAATAGTCGTTTCTATTGTTTTTACAAGAATCAAAAATAGGGACATGGTATTCTCTCTGATTTCACGCCGAAGCAGGTACCGTGCTGGCACGTACTAAATCTTTTTTTTTTTCTTTTAATTATTAAATTATGTTTATAGTGTAGAATTAATGTAATTAATGTTAAATCCTTATGTTTTCATTTCAGGAACGCGATATTTTTCACGCGGTATTGACGCAGAGGGGAATGTTTCTAATTTCAACGAGACTGAGCAAATTGTTTTACTGGATCCCATTGAAGATGGTAATACATCCACCTTTTTTGAAGGTAAAATCAAGTTGTCTTATGTTCAAACACGTGGATCTATTCCCATTTATTGGGCCCAAGTCAATAATATCAAATATACACCGAAATTACAAATAATGGATTTACCCAATACGGTAATATATTCTATATTTTTCTGTTGTTGTCAATTTTCATAATAAAATTAGTAAGTGCCAACATATTATTATTTTAGCTTGAAGCTTTTCATCGACATTTTGATGAACAAATCAGAACATATGGAAATCAATTATTAGTTAATCTTGTTAATAAAAAAGGATATGAATTTCCTATGGGAGAATCGTATGAGAGGACTGTGAAACAGCTAAATGACCATAGAATACGATATTACCATTTTGATTTTCATCATGAATGTAGCAAAATGCGGTGGAATAGAATTCAGATTTTACTTGACACTATTGAAGAAGAATTAATACAACAAGGGTATATCAAAAATTTTCTAGATATATACTTTTAGCATATTAAAGATTTAATTTTTTTTTTTATTTTTCAAATTCATTTCAGGTATTTCTACGCTGATGATTCACGCATTATCAAATCTCAGACATCCGTAATTCGTACGAATTGCATGGATTGTCTTGACAGAACCAACGTTGTTCAGTCTAACTTTGCGAAATGGGTGTTGACACAACAATTACGTGAAGTGGGTGCACTTAGTAGCAAAGAACGAATTGATGAAATTGCAAGTTTCATGGATATATTTAGAAATGGTATTTAAAATTATTATTCGAAATTTATTTATTGCAGTCATAATATGATATTTATATTATTTTATTTTTTTTCTTTTTTAATTGATAGTATGGGCTGATAACGCTGATGCTATTAGTTTTCCTTATTCTGGTACTGGTGCTCAAAAAACGGATTTTACCCGGTACGTTATTAATTTAATTACCGAATTTTCTTGCTATAATAAATATTAAATCATATTCTATTTTAGAACTGGTAATAGAACTAAAAAGGGAGTTGCTTCAGATTTACAAAGTTCTGTGACGCGTTATGTTCTTAATAATTTTATGGATGGTTCTCGACAGGTAAATTTTTCAATGTCGATTTGTAATTTAAATTTTAATACTTTTTAATTAATCAATACAATCAATACTTAAATGATTATAGGATGCATATGATTTGTTATTGGGTAATTACGTAGTAAAACATGGGGCCGCATCACCATGGATCGATACTCGATCCATGCAAACGAAATTGGTAATTTGCAATAATTATGATTTTTGTGAAAGTGAATAATTTAATAGTTTCTTAACAATACATTCTAAATCTTTATTTTTAGATTCCTCGAGTATTATTGGCGTGTTTGGTATTTTTGCTACTTTTATTCATTTTACCAGAAGGTATTAATCAATTCAAAAGCTTATCTTATATTACATTTCGAATGTTAACATTGTTTAACTTTCCTTTTAGGTTATAAATATTATGCTCGATCGTTGATGTTTATCGATTTAGTTATTATTATATTTATACTTCGATTTGTTGTGGAAAATGGTGGCGAATTTATAGATTGGCCTAAACTTGTTCCAAGAGATTACCGATTTTATCAATCAAAATCTAGCACATCATCTTATAAACAAAAAACGGGGCGGATTAATGATTTAGAGTATGAAGAAAAAATTGAATTACAAAAATTGGAATAGAAGAAACTATTTATTCATGTTCTAAAATTAATTATTTTTTTTATATACTATACTATTTTCTTTATTATTTAAATTCAATAATAATTTACTAGAGTCTTTTTGATAGATTATTTTTCCTTGTATTTTTTAAAGGAATGTATTCAATAATAATTAATCTATTCATAAACATTGTGTTCAAATAATCAGTTACAACTTGCAAGATCCAATAATATAATAATATACCAATTTGCCCGTTGTTTAATGTCTTTTTTTATATTTATTAAATTTGCGCTTTTTAGGGTATGGGAAGTATTTTCTTCTACGCTCTTCATACATCTGTTTTTTATCGCTCATATAACGATGAGCAGAGTCAATTGTGCGCGATATGTCTTCAAGAAAGACATAGTCTAAAATAAATAATTAATTTTAATTTCGGTTTGTTAAACTCAATAAGGAACTAATTAACACATAACATTTACCGCTCATTAAATTTTCATATCCATATTGTTCAAGTGGAACATATTTCACTTTCGATCTTATACCTTCACATGAATACTTTTCCTTATGTGATTTACAACATTTCAATGAACATGAGTGAAAATTGCACTTTGGGCATTTGTATTTCCAAGCGTTGACGTTACAATTTTGACATTTGGTTGAATTGGAATGTTTTTCGGGTAAATTATTGTTTGTAGTTTTTCTTAAAGAATCTGATAAAGCAGCAGACGATACTTCTGAAAATATTTGGTCCTTTGGTTCTTCGACTTGAACTTAATAAAATAACAGGTAAGACATCCGAAGAAAATCATTTTTTTTTTTTTTTGAATTGTTAAATTACCTTTATTTTCAACTTGCCCTTCTGTTGATTCTACTTTTTCTTCATTAGTATCTTCATACTCTTGAAGAATTAATGCAAGAGGATCGGTAAAGTTGTAGTAGTCCATATTCTAAAAAATTATATTGCTTGATTATCTAGCTTCATGCATGGTAGATCATAAATAAGTTCCAAAAGTCTTGTTTATTTTGCATATAAATTTTGCATATAAAATAAAGCAATTTTTTTTTCGGTTGATTTTTTCTTTCTTTTTTTTTGTCATTTAATTTTTCTGTATTTAGCTTTTATTTACCAAAATAATGGGGCTTGCTTTTAGTTTCCTTGGTGCTCCTATTTCATGGGTTTCTTCAGCAGTTGTTTCTTGCTTCTCCGCAGCAGCTTGTAATTTAGCTTGTAAATCATGTAATTGTAATAATTCAATAGCGACTAGGATAGGGTTTGCAGTGAGTAGTATTTAAAAATTAAAAATCACTAGTTATCCACCTAAACTAACTTATATTATCCTTATTTTTATTTTTAGATAATATTACTTTTGAACTCTATGGTAAAAGTTTAAGCAAATTTAACTTTGTATGTCATTTTACTATTCTATATTCCTAATAAATTTATCTATAAAAAAAGCTTGCATGGATAATGTTATCAGATTGGGCTATAAAGCAGCTAGAGAAAATAACGTATGATTATTTACACCTGAATTGTCAAGAGGGAACCTGTTACGGAATCTTAGCCGTAAGCTTAATAATTATATTGAATTTTGTTATTTGATTTACTTCTTAACCTTGTTAACCTTGTAATCTAAATTGATAGGTTCATCGTATTTGTTTTGCGTTGTCATTTTTTCATTTTATTCTGGGACTACTTGTAATTGGTGTAAAGGATACGCATGATAATAGGGCTGCAATCCAGAATGGGTAATACTAGTAAATATGTTCATATTCTTTTGTTCTATAAAAAATTATTAATCGTTATTTTTAATTTCACATAGCTGGTGGGGAGTTAAGATAATTGGGTGGATTATCTTTGTTGTAGCTTCATTTTTCATTCCAAATCAGTTTTTCATGTTCTGGGGCAATTATATTGCCTTGATAGGAGCAACACTATTTATTTTAATTGGATTAGTGCTCTTAGTAGATTTTGCTCATACATGGAGTGAAACTTGTATAGAAAAATGGGAAGAATCTGATGATAATAAATGGAAATATCTTCTTATTGGGTCAACACTTGCCATGCTATTAACTTCAATTATACTTACAGGAATAATGTACAATTTTTTTGCTGGATCTGGATGTGGTCTTAACCAATTTTTTATAACCTTTAATCTTATATTATGTATTATTGTGATATTCTTATGCATTACTCCAGTTGTGCAAGAAGCTAATCCTCGCTCAGGATTATCACAAGCTTCAATGGTGACTATTTATTGTACTTATATTATTTTAAGTGCAATCGCTAACGAGCCCGATGATAATATGTGCAACCCATTGACAAGGAGCCGTGGCACGCGTACAACTACAATCGTTCTTGGAACTATACTTACATTCTTGGCGATTGCATATTCGACATCAAGAGCTGCAACTCAAAGTAAGATATTAATTGCTAAATATAATTTTCTGTTAGAAAGAATTTTTGTTGTAGAAGACTAACTTGCCTAACGATTTCCAATCGAATTCGCGTTCTGCGTCTTATAACGCTATTGAGAGCGGGTAAGTATTTTTTATATTAAAATTGAAAACTTGTAAATTATTTATTACTGAAATATCTTAATTTTTTAGTATAATGCCAGCTTCAGCTTTAGATGACGACGATGATGGTCATGACGATGAAAAGAATGGGGTAGCTTATAATTATGGAGCCTTTCATTTCATATTTGCGGTCGCTTCCATGTATGTCGCGATGCTTCTAACAAATTGGTAAGTATATCAAAAATTATTGGAATTTATTTGTTTTGTAATATTTATTGATTTGAATATAATTTCTTAATTTTAATTATAGGAATAACATAAATACTACTGGATCTGAAGAGTTGGTTATCATTGGACAAAGTATTGTTGCTGTATGGGTAAAAGTTGTTTCCAGCTGGATCTGTTTATTATTATACACCTGGACACTTATTGGACCTGTTCTAATGCCAGAGAGATTTGAGGTAATTTAATTGGTAGATGATATAATATATACGGTGGATTATATATACTATTACTAAAATTTTTTTTACGTTTTATTTATCGATAGGATTTTTATTAAAGAATGTTAGTACATGTTTTTATTATATAAATATCCTGAAATGTACGATAGATAAAAGATTACAAATAGAAATAAAGATTTAAATATTATAAGAATTTATTTAAAAGAAATAGTAAGAGAAAATTAAATAATTGTTATCAGCTATTCAGTCCCTTGCATGTTTCAAAGTTTCAAACAAAGGAGAAAAAAGAAGACAAGGATATGTAATTAAAACTAGTGAACGGAAGGTAGTATGATATTGCCCTGTTTATAAATCATAAAGTAATTTAATCAAAAACCATCGGACATATTTAATTATCTATAGCTTTGCTTTTTCATCGTCCTTTTTCATAGTTTCAATGTCTTTACTCTGCCATGTCCAACCATCCAATAAATCTAATACAACATTTATTCTATCTTGTCCCCAAACCAATTCCCCATCATCCACTTGAAACACCGGTGCTCCAAACATACCCAATTTAATAGCTCGGTCAGTATTCTCTCTTAATTTGTCTTTAACATTATTAACATTTTGTTGGGTAGCTTGGAATAAAGCATTACCATCGAATCCAGATTTGTTAAGAGTTTCTATAAGAAGGTCATTTGAGGTTCCAATTGGAATGTTATCGACCCAACATGCTTTAACTTACAAAACAAAATAAGAAAATAATTAAATAATGAAAGTAAATAAATTTCATTATAATAAAGTATTAAGCCAACAGACGCAAGTATGAAAACAAAAATATTTTTTTCGGTTTTTTACTTACAAATACACTCAAGAGTTTTAGGTTCCAACAAAAATATTCTCGAAATATTTACACTACGGATTGGAAACACATCAGGATAATAAAACTTAAATTTATCACCGACTTGGTTCCAAAACTGTACCCATTCATACATATCTCTAATATCATATGCTTTTCTAGTTTCATTTAATTTCAAAAGTGGTGTTTGTGGAGTTCCAATTCTACAAAAGGTACAGAAAGAAAATGAATATTAAAGAGTATTTAATTTAAATTTTGATATTTAAACCAATTTAAAATATGATCTTTTACCTATCAAACACAAATCCAAGAAGGAATGGCATATATTCAATATTAACTTCACATTTAGCTTGTTTTTTGATCCAGCTCAATTGAGTATACGCAATATAAGAATATTGCGAAGAAAAATCAAACCAAAATTTCAACGTTTTCACTTTTTTATTATTGCCGTTAAATTTTTTCTCGACAGAACATCTCGGATAAAACTTTAATAAATCCATTTGTTCTATAGATACACCTGTTGAAATGGATGTTAATGCCGCTTCAACGAAATGTAATCTATCTTGTCCCCAATATAATCTTCCACCTCCTGGATATTGTTCCAACCAAAAGCTAGGTACTCCCGGTGAGCCATATTCGACTGCTCTTGCTGTGGAAGAACTAAGCGAATTTTGATATTTTTTATTGGAGAATATAGATGAATCAAGTGGTTCATCATATGGAATTTTAAGTGATTGCGCAGTATTTAATAAAAGGGAAAGATCAGAAATATCAGCATTGTCAACCCAGTATAATCGATAAAATGCGCGAGTTAATGCTGCGCGATAAGATTGTGGCGTAGCATGGAGAAGTCTCAAAGCTATTTTTCGAAAAAAAAAACAATTAATTTGTAGATTTAAAAGAATTGATAGTTTTAAAGATTGTACTGTACCATATATAGTTTGGATTGGATGACGAGGATGAAAATTTAATTCTATGTTGTATCTTTGTACTGTACGCAACAAATCTTTTGTTATGTATTGTCTTTTTGGTAGTGGCATTACATCTGTTGCGCTTCCTAATAGATATCAATTAGTTTGAAAAATCGAATAAATTCGATGTTTTATTCATATACCTGCTTTACCCTATTATTTGCAAATTGCAAATTAGTTTTTTTTTATTTTTTTTTTAAAAAAAAAAATATTTAAATCTTTGCAACCTGAGGAGCTTTAATTGCTTTATAAATTTCTCCTAAAAGAACAGGTGTCCAAATAACTTTAGCATTTGTTCTTTTAGTTATTTGTTCAATTCGTTTGGAAGCAATATATGCCCACGGACATTGTAAATCATAAAAAAATTCTACAATTGGTTGCTTTGAATTCTTTATAATTGAATTCATTGAACTATTAAAAAGTTGAAAATATAAAAAATATATTAGAAATTAAGATTATCAGATCATGTACCAGTTGTATCACTCACTAAAAATGTACTGTAGATTTAAGCGCGAGAAAAGAAGGAAAAAATTTACTATTGGCTACGCATTTTTTGAAGCCGGAATTATGATAATTTCAGCATGTTCCTAAAAATGTTAATAAAATTTCGGCCGGGATTACCTATAAAAGGATAACTAGCTAAAAACTGAGATGAGCGATGGATTTTTATATAGGCCACTCATGTAATTATTTATGAAAAAATAAATTCAATATAGAACTATTAAATACAAAATTATTACTATAATTTTCACTATAAAAATACCTTAAAAGTAGGTAAGAAAATCCAATCCATTTTACTTTTCTTCTGAATTGTTAGAATTAGTAGAGGTTAGCATTGTTAGATAATTATCTGAAGTATGATATATTTATTTTTATATCAGGTAATTTTTTAAATTAAAGTTTAAAATTTGGTTAATACAATTATTTTGAAGGAATTTACTTGTACTGTTAATACATTTTAGATATAATCAATAATCATAGTATTTTATCACTATTTTATCTTAGGTTTGAAATTACCTGATTTATAATATACTAAATTTTAAAATAAGGAATATGTTTTTTTTTACACCTGCGATATGGTTGCATCTCCCTTTTACACTAACTATATACTATAAAAAACCTTATATTATATGTATTTTTGACTATTTTACAAATTTTCTTAATATTTCAAAAAAGATTTAAAATGTCATTTTGACTTTTATATGTAACATATTATAAGGATATGATATAATGCAGGTGCAATAAAAAATAAAACCCTTAAAATAATATTTAATATACTATAAATAATAGAAAATTGCTAAAGTTTACTGGTAATGATGATTAATATATTAACATTATGATGTACTTTTGACCAGAATTAAAAATCTAAAATACTGGTCTGCATTACATCATAATTTTACTACTGGCTATTGGTGATGTTTGATATTTAGTAATACCCTAAATAATATATTAGTTTAATATTTAATTTTATTTATACCTATATTTTCTTTATTAAATTTTTAAGTTTTTTCAATTTTTTTATATATATCTGTAATATTAAATAAAAAAGGATTTATTTTTTATTTATTTTTAATTTTACTTTTTATTTTTTTATTATGATAATTATAAAACTTTTTACTATAGAAAAATACAAATAATATAAATAAAAAATATTTTTCTGAAAAATTAAATAAATCAATAAATCTATTTACCATTTATATATTTTTTAAATAATTTTTTATAAATTTAATATTATAAATAAAAATATCATAATTAGAATTTTTTTAAAAGGGATTAAAATTTAAACGCACCTGCGTTTTGAATGCATCCTTCTTTTTTAGAAATTTTTTTATAATAAAAAATGCTGATCATTTCATTACGTGATACCAGAGAATTTCTGATTTTTTTAAATAAATGCAATTTATACCTTATATACTTACAAATAAACTCACGTTATATGTGTATTTTTGGGTCTGGTATAAAATCCCAAATGTCAAAATCCTGAAAATCCTGAACTGGACAGCATTATGTTTAATGCTAGCCAATTTTTTAGGATTTTGTATCATTTAGGATTTTGACATTTGGGATTTTGTACAGATCCTGTATTTTTGCCTCCTCTACAACTTTACTTACTATGACAAAAGGGGTTTAAAAATTCATTTTTGACTTATACCATAAGGGTGCGTTCAAACACAGGTGCGTTTAAATAGAGCTCTGAACAGGTCAGCCAAATTCAGGTAACCTGATCTGACCTAACCTGAAATTCAAGTCAGGTATGAGATTTTTAAAAAAAATTCAGGTCAGGTATGAAGATTGACCTGACCTGATTGACCTGTTGACCTGAAACTATTAATTTTACTATATAATAAAAGTGAGTTGCAGTATTGCGATTCACTTTTTTATATTGATTTTATATAATAAAAGTAAGTTGCAGTACAGTCAACTCTCTTTATAGTCACACATTTGGGACAGTCCATATTTGGTGATTAT